ATGGTATACCATGTAGCTGCGTGCACCGCTCATAGCAGCTGGACCCCTTTTATTCACACAGCCTTATCCTGTATAGGCAAAGTGCAATGGCCATGATGTATTCATTACGCACGTGATTGGAACAATGTGACAAGGATGATGCTGTTTTGAACTAAGCAAACACCCTGACTCTGAGTAGTTCAATGACACATTGATAGCGTGCAAGACGATATTTACAATAAAAGCTGGAACTGAGCAGAGCCAAACGCTAATAGTTGACCAAAGGGCGAGAATGCCTATTTATAAGGTCATTATTTGCTCCTAATCTCCAGTTTTCTGCGCTACCTCTACTGGTTCTTCTATGGGATTCTCCTTTACTCTTCCCAGAAGCTCAAGGCTTGGTAATTTTTATTTATCAAGTGCAAAAGCAAGTCAAGCAGCTTAAGGTCACTGGTTTGTCAAATACTATCACCAAGACAGTGCTTGGCCACAGCAACTCTAGCCTCTGCTAATGCACGCAGATGCCATCACCATTTTTCTGGGTGGTAAATGATTGGTTATTAGTGTACCAAGCAAAGCTAATGCAAGACTCAGCCTCACTTGTTATTACTGCAAATGGTGTCCCATTATTGGTAGGCCTAGGAGGGTGCTGCATGTAAGCGCCCACAGCAAACACCTAACAGCCCCTAAATTGTGTCTTACTGACCAGAGCCTGTGGCTGCGGGCTGACCCTAACTTAGGCTTGCCTCTATCCTGCCAGAGTGGGATGGACTAAGAATGGATCCAGCTGGTGCTTATATAGGATAGGTGGCCCTGTCTGATAAGCGATAAGGTTACCTCTTTTGATGGATAGTGATACATACATTATAGTCACATCCTCTGTCTCTCCCCATGTGAATCAACTCTAGCTTCGTCGACTAAAGAGAACTGTATAACCCTATCATTCTAGAAGCATATCTGACAGCCTCATGCTCTTTCCTCTGTACCATGACATCACTCAGTGCCCTCAACAGTCCTGACCTCTATATAATTGCCTGGATTGCTGCTCTTCCCATCAAGTGTGCTGCTGCTGAAGCAATGCTTAATGAGGAACATGCAGCTCTAACTAGCTTTACTTAACACTAAACTAACATAAATGTTTATACATGGGGTTGTGTGGGGGAGTATAACATTGTTATTGCCTCTCTAGCTTCTGGAGTTTACAGAACCATCTTAGCTGTAATCACAGCCTTAAGCCTGCTTGCCTCTCTGCCATCCATCCATGTTGGTCTTTTGGTCAGTATAGGTGGTGCCATTGCTTGACTAGATGATGGCCACAATATCCAGCTAGGTGATATTGTCGTGAGCCAGCCCTGTGGGACCATGGGTGGTGTCTGCTAGTACGACTTGATGAAAGCAAAATCTGGTGACAGGCGTGGGTGTATAGGATTCCTTAGATAGCCTCTAACAGTCCTTCTTAATATGCTTACCAGCATCTAGACTAATCATAAGTAGAAAGACTCTTAAGGTTCCCTGCTTCCTTTAAGAGATGCTAGAGAAGAACCTGAAGATGGGCAAGGGATCTAAGCAAAATCCTGGCTATGCTCATAAGGCTTTGATAATGACTGCCCCTTCAAAGCTTCATGCGGTCACGTCCCTGGCCTAGACTATTAGGGCTGTGACACGGCTGATGAGGTTCAATGCGATCCTCAAGACACTACTGACCCTGATATCTACTATGGGACTATTGCATCTGGTAATACTCTTGTTAAAGATGCTGCTACTTATGATCAGATTATTGCTGATCTTGGCAAGGATTGTATCTGCTTTGAGATGGAAGTGGCTGGCCTGATGAACCACTTTCCCTGTCTTGTGATCTGAGGGATTTATGACTATGCTGATTCTTATAAGAATGACTGATGGTAATATTACACCGCGGCGGTTGCCGCTGCGTATGTGAAGGAGCTTCTGGTGTATGTGCCGGTGGCAGAGGTCCAAGAGACCAAGAGGGCACTGGAAGTGCTTTAATTAGGTTAGTTCTTGTTTCATTCATTAGCTAGACTAGTAATAACACAATATTTTAACTTGGCATATGTCCTGACTGCGAGTAGTTCAAAGACAGATTGATATCGCGCAGCAGACAACAGTTGCAACAAAAGCTGCAACTGATTCCATTAGGTCTGACCTTCGTATCAATAAGATCAGGCGCTGGCTTTGTCCCCCAGATCCATCTAAAACACTAACCACGTGAGGACGCTCCGCCATAAGGGGATGGGCGCGTGGCTCCTAGAAAACCCTATCTTCCAGTCATGGCACTCTGGGTTATGTTGACATTTATGGCTGCACGGGTTCGCAGGATGTGGAAAGATGGTTATTAGTATGACTATACTTGATTATCTCACGAAGGGAAATAATGATCTTATCCTCAGCTTCTTCTTTAACTTTAGCAACACCACAAAGCAAACCTTAGATGGCATACTGCGGTCGCTAGCTTTCCAACTTTACCAAGGCAGGGTTAGCTCTGCAATCCATCTTGAGGCTTTATCTCAAGCACACGACCAACCTGCGACAAAGGAGCTCTCAGTTATTGTTTTCAAGATGCTCATAGTCCAGAGGAAGGTCTCTATCGTTCTGGACGCATTGGATGAATTGAAAACAAGGGAAGATGTTCTCCTATAGATTAAGGATGTGGTGTCTAGGCCAGAGTTGGTCTATGTCCAGTTGCTTCATACCAGTTAACCTGAATCTGAGTTTCGGCGCTATATTCCCCCTTTGATAGGCAAGAAAAACTGCCTACTACTTAATGAGCAGGCTGTCAACTCTGATATCTGATTATAGGTCATAGCACAACTTTCTCAACAGCATGATTTTACAGAGAAGCCCTTGTCCCAGGATCTTCTCAAGGAGATACAGAGGAAGATTAGTGATGGGGCTGATGGGATGTGAGATAGTACTACTTTAATTAATATACTGATGTTTGCTGACACCCTGCTTAGGTTCAGGTGGGCATTCTATTAATTAGACAGGCTGGCTTAATGTCATCACAAGGCAGCTATGGAGGAGGCTCTTTCATCTTTGCTGCTGAATCTAAATAAGATATACCAGCGCATGATTGCAAGCATACCGACAGAGCTAAAAAATAATGTGATATGTATGCCTCCTATAATTCCTAGTGCATTCTAAGTGACCTCTTAAGCTGGCCAAGGCTAAAGAAGTAATAGTGATGCAGATTGAAAATGAGGGGTGAGGGTTTGACATCAAGCATTAATTATTTTGCAAGACTAATGTTTTGGATTACTATCCCAGCTTAGTGATAATTATTTATGCCACTAATAAAGAGTTACATCTTGCCTACTTTTCTGTTAAGGAGTACCTTCTCAAACAGAGTCATTTTAAGATCATGACTGCAAGCATTTCCATTACAAGGACGTGCTTGACTTATCTTATGGATATTAATGGTAGCCATAGAGAGGTCAAGTGGGACTTTCTGATGGCAAGAAGTGCAGCAGAACTCTTTACAGGCCATGCTGCATTAGCTCAGGCTTCTGAAGATATAATTCAAGTAACAGTCAGGTTCCTAGAAAAGGAAGTAATATTTCAATGATAGGCTTGTTTGTATCAGGCTGATAGGAGTTGGGACGATGACCCTGGTCCTCTGCAAGGATCTAGGCTTTACTATGCTTGCTTCCTTGGACTTGTAGCGCCTGCACAAGTTCTTATTGGCAAGGGAGTGGATGTTAACACACAGGGTGGCTGCTTCAGTAATGCTCTCCAGGCTGCCTTGTTTGGAGGCTATCATGAGGTTGTTAAATAGCTCTTAGACAAGGGAGCGCATATTAACATGCAGGGTGGTGCATATAGTAATGCTCTCTAGGTCACCTTATTATAAGGCTATTAAGAGATTATCAAACTGCTCTTATTATAGAGTTACATAACCGAACCGCAAAAATCAAATCCAACCCTCACCGAGCCCGCAGCAGGTCGGGCTCAGGGCCTAGCCTAGGGAATTGCTTTGGGTTTGAGTTCCCTACCCCAGGCCTAATTCGGGTTCAGTGAAAACCATCAGTTTTGATTTTTGCAGTTTTTGCAGATTAGGTGAAACTGCCTAATCTGTTTTAGATAGAAATTACTAATTTCTAGGATTTCTATAGAAATATTAATATCACTAGATAGCCTAGATTAAGGGCTATCTAATGATATAAATATCAATTTAAAATACCTAGTGGTTACTGAGATATAAGGGAATAATTATTTATGTCATAGGTTGGTATGAAAGTGGTATAGATATATATATATATGTAACTAATGGTTAATAACTATAGTAGTTTAAAAATAATTTTTTAACTACCACCCATTCAACCCCCTAGATATTGAATTGATATTTTAGATATAGATTAGTATAATGATAATTATGATATATTTCATATAAAAATATTAATTTTTGATAGGGGTGGTAGAGTTAGATAGTATGGTATTAAATGATTTTAAAATTCAAAAACTATCAAATTTCACTAAGGGGTAGCAGTTTAACTAACTCAAAATTAAACCAAATCTAACCATGGTTAGTTAGTAGGGGCCTAGCTATACCTAGCTAGGCCTAGCGGTGGGTTTCTGCTCTGCAACCAAATTGCATTGGGTTTGATTTGGTTGTGAGTTCTAAAATTTTGACCCAAAACCGCAGCGGTTCAGTGCCACCTAAGGTTGAACTCGCCCGAACTCGCACCAAATGCAACTCTAGTCACCCACCTAACTACTAACCAGCCAGCGTGTGGCTTAAGTACAGCTGAGTGGACGGGAAGCCCTGTTTTCCACACCCTATGGTCGTATGTACTGAATATGTAGCAGGTGCTGATATATTGATGCTTGAAATGTTAGCTAAATTGGCTCACCAGCTGTCCAGCACATGCAGGCTTCATTATATGAGTGCTCGGGATAGCTTCACCCGGAATGCGGAGGACAACTATGAAGGAGATACACCGCTGGCTGTGTCCATTCTTCGTTCTCATCTCGACACATCCACCAACTACTCAATCTTTTGACTGTTAAAACAACCCCTCCGATCTTCTCCACTGATAGTCCAGCACATCACTGGCTTTTTCGGCACAGGACAAGCCACAGAGGATCTCCACAACATACAGCGCAGCGTCAAAGCCACTGGAAATCCCACCAGATGAGACGACCCGCACTCCATTATCGAGCAAGCCGGCATCGACAAACCTCTTCCGGATAACCTCAGTCTGGTCATACTTTGCACAGAGCTCCGCTAGCTCTGGAATAATCGTGTAATGAGTGGTCGCGCGTCGGCCGGCGAGAATTCCCGCAGAAGCAAGGAAAAAAGCCCCGCTGCAGACTGAGAGAAGGAGTCGAGGATGGACTCGAGATTCATCCTTAGGCAGAGAAGAAAACTTCTGAATGATCTGAATGACTGGAAAGTCCAGGAAACAGAGCTCCTTCGTGACCACATAGCTTGCGCCTGGGACAATAAGGACGTCGAACTGTGCGAGGGAAGACATGGCTTGCTCGAAGCTGATATTTCGTTTGATGGCCAGGTCCTGTAAGGTTGTGATTTCGTCACTGGGACCGGCGACTGTAATGGAAAACAAACGGTCGCCAGACGGGCCTCGAACATGCGACAGCGTTTCCAATGGCCCGGCGAAATCGACTAGGTCCATCTTTTCGAAACTCAGAATACAGGTTTGGATGGGCTGGACGGATTCCGACATGTTGATGGAATCTTCGGTTGGCGTTCTGGTAAGGATATAGATGAGAGAAGATTGGTGAATTGCCGAGCCTCTGGAATTTTAGCAGAAACTCACATCATGTATCGTCAGACAGGCTCGATCCTGGGAAGGTCGGCTTTAAATGTCCAACTGTGAGCGTCTCGATATACTAGGCTAGTGCTGATGCAACAATAGTAAGAGTGGCCTGATAGGTCCAAAATGGAAATGCCATATCGCGTTAAACTCCGTCAGGCGTTCCATGCTAGACAGCACTTATTTCCGTGCCCCTCCTACTGGCTTTTGAGCTTGTGCTTTGCATTACACCTGCCATCCAACCAGGCACGACGATCAACCGACTGTACCCGCGCATAGCCGTATGTGCTGCGGTCTTGATACTCCTTATCTTCTAGCTGATATTGTCTTGCAGTGTGATCAACTAGAATGCAGGACGTGTGCGAAACCAGGTCATGCATGCAGGGCTAGTCAAGCCTTCAGCAATCTCACCTCCCACGGCATCGATGCACCTCTAAAACCTCTTATTACAGACGCCGTCTCTTAGAGCAAAACAGAACGAAGATTGCAGTGAACCACCGCTGGTATCAGCCCAATATCAATTATAACTTTTGGTGCTTGAAGTGACAGAGTGATACTTCACGCTAGCTTTAAGATCGTAGCGAATTATCGCTCCCTCGACAACGTAGACTCGGGCAAGTTGGAATGGAAGCTCATCTCAAAATCATACGAGTATTTCCCGGGTAGAGAGTACTTGGACTTGATGTCTGGGCCCTTTACCTCTTTTATACATTGTTATGGCACCTATTCTCCGTCAATGTCCACTGAACGTAAATGTGTCTAGACATGTCTATCCAATCATAAACATCAAGCACTTTCTTAATCAAGTTCTGACCTACAATCCTCCGACATTAGCCTCTCTTATTTGGACCTCGCATATCCCTCTGATGCCAGACGAATGGTTAAACGCAAAGACCCCTATTCTTGTCTCATGTCTTCCTAACCTAGCGATGTTTCCTGCACGCGAGTCAGTTGCTGGAGCTAAACGGCCATCCTCACGATTGTGCCCCCCATGGTCCTGCAATGTGTTTCCCGGCCTTGTTTTGATGATTCATCTTGGCGATTTTTAGTCATAACTAGAAGTCTACTCCATATCATCATTGCGTGCCGATGCACTTGTTCTCCGGACGCAGCTACTACTTCGGCGTCATTCTTAAGCAGTGATCAGACTCAGCTAATATCCGCCTTGAGCATTGGCGTGTGCACTTGAAAAGAAATACTCAAGGTACTTGGAGAGCACGAAAGTGGCATCAGTTACGAATACGAATGATTGGTCCAAGCTCCGGGTCCAGATCCCTTGAAGTTCCTGGTTACCACGGAGCTTGTCCGCTATTGAAGAGCTCTGCTTGCTGGTTACGGACGATTTGAGGCCTCCCGTTTTACCGTACCGGAAAAGGGAAAAAGGGAGCTTGAAGATGACCAATCCCTTTGCTCCAAAAGAACATGTCCACTTTTATCAAACTATCCGGTTAATTTCCTTGAAATATTGGAGTTGGTGGAGTGCTTGGCACGCGCCCGGGGCTGGTGGTGAGACCGACTGCGTGTCGCACTAGGGAATTAGGGTCCTTCAGGATGCTATATTCATCAACTTGCGACGGAGGGGCTGCTCTGACATCGTGAGCGCAATCAACCTGACGCTCTACTATAGGCACAGTCTGTAGTGGAACTATGCAAAATATGATATAAACTTGCGAGTCGCCATGCTTGTCTGCTTCTTCCAGTCGCATTCCAGTCATTCTTTCCGATTTTGTCTCGTCTTCAGTCGTTGATCGACTCTACATTCTTTCACCATGTATTTCTTTTCTCTGGTAGCCGCGGCTGGACTCGCGCATGCCTATACTGTGGTCGTCGCCGAGCAGTTCATGCTGAAGAACATCGATCCTATTGTGCTTCCTGGCCAGTACAAGAGCCACATGCACAGCTTCTTCGGATCCGATGCCGTCACCACCAACACTAACACCTCGGCCGAGCTCCAGGCCGGTTGCTCGACCAATGAGAACCCCAACGATCTTTCCGTCTACTGTACGCTTCTCTCTTCATTTCAATCATAAGCCAATCTAACCAAAACAGGGGTCCCGACCTTATACCTGACCGAAAACGGCAAACACATCCCCATCACACCCATGCGCTTCAGCGCCTACTACGTCAACATCGGCGACGCCGAGATCCCCTTCCCCCAGAACTTCAAGGCCGTCGCCGGCAACGCCAAGGGCACGTCCCAGGCGGACGTCGAAAGCGTCTACGGCATCCAGTGGATGTGCGATGGCGTCTCCAGCACCGACGGCGGCAAGGACGTCGCCGCGTTCCCGACCAAGACCTGCTCCACCCATCTGCAGTCCATCCTGCTGTTCCCGGACTGTGTCAACCCGGACACCCTCGCCTACGCCTACTCGGGCACCCAGAACTGGAGCGGCAGCTTCCGGCCCGCAAACCGCTGCCCGGCGGGCATGAAGCGCATTCCGCAGCTGCGCTTCTCCATCCGGTACGATCTGCGCAAAGTGCTGCCGGATGGGTGGTCGGGCACGCCGCCGCTTGAGCTGGCGTGTGGCTCATCGTACTGCTGGCATGGCGACTTTATTAACGGATGGGTTCCTGAGGCGGCGGAGAATATGCTCAAAGCGACGGATAAGCAGGAGTTTATGCAGATTGATGGCCCGCTGGGCGGGGGGAAGGATGGGTCCAAGTGCGGAGCGACGAATGCGCACGATCAGGATCCTGACCATGGGACGAGCGATTATGAGACGAGCGTTAAGATGATGTCGAGCAAGAGGAGTATTGGCCAGCGTCGGTGATCTGATGGCCCTGTGTGTGTTGGAAGCATCATACCCTCTGCGGTCTTGCCAAGTTGTCAATGTATGTACAGTAATTCTAGAAGAACTAGCATCTGGATATTCACTTGAAGTAACGGTCGCTTTCATCTATAGACCAAGGTCAAGTCTTAGACGAGGTGTACAATGGGTCTATATATTCTGATCGGTCTTAAGAGTCGGGGTTAAGAAGGTTACCCTCTAGCACATTATTTGGTAGAAGACGAATCAATGATTGGACAATCTGAGACAAATATTCTCATAAGGTTAGCTACCTAAGGATTTACGCTAAATGCTGACATTTGCATAGTGTCAGTAGTGGTAACCCCTGGTTATTTCCCTAGGTGCGGACGGGGAATCCTTTCCAGAAACAGACCCTATTGAATGTCTCAAAAATGTGTTGCAATCTCCGTCCGAACCCGAAGACGGCGAAGAGACATGGCTAGGAAATGAAGCTGTGACGGATGATCCATAGATCAGAGGCAAGCTAATGGCAGTCAAAATAGTGAAATTTGGTACGGACATAGTTAAAACCATCAGCTGCCTGCAGGATTTAAATACTCCTCATTGTTAATCCTGTTATTGGTCTATTAGGACTCTCTCCTGCGATTGCTGTTAAGGTTCTCCACTTAATGAGGAAGCGTCCTATCATCTCTGTCTAACCAACAATTCTATTGCTCTGCCTCATCATTTTGTCAGCAGTCAGCATTTAGCAGTGGGCAAGGTCCGAAAACCTCCATTCGCAGACAATATGCAGAGCTCCGTAGTTGCAACCTCGCCCTTTCTGCAGCGTTTCCCGCTGGGAATTGAGATCTCAGCCCAAGATAGTTGGTTGGGAGTCACAGACCCAGTGGAAAGACGGAAATTGCAGAATCGATTGAACCAGCGAGCACGGCGTTAGTATTCTCATGGCCCTGACGTCTTCTGTTTCCAGAAGAGAGGTACTAACGAATGGAACAGGACAGCGTCAACGAACAGCTAATGCAAACAGCCAACTGGACCAGCAGCGGCAGATTCCCCCAGAGCCCTCCGACCAGGTCGACCTTGTACTTCAGGTTCTGAGTACAACGCACATCCTGGGCCCAACTGCACACAATGCAAGGCGTACCTTCCAGCAGCTTGAAACCATCCTTATGGCCCTAGGCAACTGCATCAGCGGGTCCCCCGTGGCTGATCTACGTCTGGGAGTAACGAGACTCAACGTCATGCGAGCATTGCATGTCAATCTTGAGGTGCTGGGTTACCGGCCAGGTGAGATTACCGAAGATGCGCAATCGGCATTCACTATCCAGGGGCCATCCCGTCTCCCGGGCAGGAGTACAAGCGAGGTGAAGCTGCCGCCGGCGCTGAAACCGACTGCGATTCAGCGCACGGTTCCACACCATCCATGGCTGGACCTCATTCCCTTCCCGTACATGCGGGATACTCTGATTCTAACCCAGGACTTCATCGACGAAGAGCAACTCTGTCACGATTTATGTGGCCAGGGTGAGTCGGCCGTCCAGCACCCTGGCCGAGGGGCAGGGATCGGCGAGACGGGTATCCTCGTCTGGAAGGATCCCTGGGATTCATCCGGCTGGGAAGTCACCGAGACATTCCTCCGGGTTTGGGGGTGGACTGTTCGCGACTGCTGGGATCTGTTCCGTTCGACGAACGCGTGGCGCAGTCGTCGCGGGGAGAGACCGCTGTTTGCGATTTCTGAGAGCGGCGACCGACGACGGAATTCTACTGTAGAGAAAATATAATGCCATCATCGGCAATTTGCGCTCGTAGTCGGCACGGCCCGCGCCTGAACGATCCGTCGTGCGACGGCCAGATCGATCTCGTAAAGGTTGTCGCTCCCAGCTTCGGCGTGGCCGAATGGCGCTTTAGAGTTCGCTCAGCCCCTTCCTGATTTTAGTATGTATCTTACAGTAAGGGCAGTCCTAAATAGGAGGTTCTAGGTGCTGCTTCAGAGACAGGCTTAGGAGGTGGCGCTTTAGGGCTCTAGAAAGGTGGCAGAGAAATGGAGGCTGAACTTGAAGTGATCATCTATCAGGGTTGACTCTATCCTTCATTCCCCATATTCCCTTATGATAATAGATGACAACGATGCTGATGACTGCTGACACTTGCGGAGAATAATAGTCGAATTGTCCTACCAGCTTAAACCCGGAGCTCGGAATTAACCGTGTGTTCTCCGCATGGGGCCATGGGTGACCATTCACGGCAGGATCATAGAGTCCTCGTATTTTGGATGTTGCAACAACTCTAAATCGGTAGGCAATGGAGAAACCGGAGCTAAGAAGATCATGATGGTCATGACTGCAAACTCCAGGTGAAAGAGTCGTTTTGTCGTGATGATATCCTGTATATAAAGTACCCCTCGTGCTCAGTCCCAGTCTGATGTATCCATAAACCCAGATCCATCCCAGGATCATCCTTTACTATCATCCTTCTTTCAAGCTCAGTGTAATCACCAGACAACATCATGACAGCACGATATGCGGACGTTCACAAGAACCCCCAAGGCCCAGGGGATGCTCGCCCAACAGCCATGCAGATCACCCACGACGAGGGCCTAGAGGGAAAACTGATCGGCTCCTCGATCCTCATCACCGGCGCATCCTCAGGAATCGGCGTCGAGACGGCCAAAACGCTCTTCACCACGGGTGCGACCCTCTACCTGACAGCCCGAAACCTGACCAAAGCCAAGAACGCTCTCGGCGATATGGTGTCCTCTCCGCGCGTACACCTGCTCGAACTGGACCTGGAATCCCTAGACAGCGTGCGCGCCTGCGCCGCCGAGGTCCTCTCCAAGACCAAAACCCTCAACATCTTCATCGCCAACGCCGGCGTCATGGCCACTCCCGAAGGACGCACCAAGGACGGCTTCGAGACCCAGTTCGGAACCAACTACCTATCTCACTTCCTGCTCTTCCTCCTCCTCCGCCCGGCGCTTCTGGCCGCCGCAAGCCCGCAGGCGAATTCCCGCGTGGTTCTCCTCTCGTCCATCGCCCACCGGTACTCGGAGGTGGTGTTTGACAATCTCAACTTCGACGGCGAGTACGACAGGTGGAAGGCGTACGGGCAGAGCAAGTGCGCGCTGGTCTGGGCAGCGAACGAGATTGACCGCCGCTATGCCTCCCAGGGTCTGCGTGCCTTTAGTGTCCAGCCCGGCGGCATTATGACCGGACTATCGCAGCACCTGTCTGAGGAAGAGCAGAGTGGATTCAGTGATGATCCGACTCTGGGGCCACGGCTTAAGAGTCCGGAGCAGGGTGCTGCTACTTCGGTTTGGGGGGCTGTCTCTAGATCCCTTGAGGGAATGGGGGGGAAGTACCTTGAGGATGTGCAGATTGCTGAGGCGCAAGATCCGGGCGCAGGGCCGTGGGCACCCGGCTATGCCTCGTATGCGTACAGCCCGGAGAAGGAGAGGAGACTGTGGGATGTGTCGCTGAAGTTGGTTGGTGTGGATGAGTGAGAGCAGGACAGTAGGCTTCGAATTTGTTCCAGTATGTATTTTTTGGAAATATAAATCGGCAGGTGAAGAATCTTAACCATATTCAATGTCATAGTATTGTATTGGCCAGTCGTGTCTTCCATGGGAGTCGGCCACTGATATGGCTTCCTTTATGACTTTGAAGTTCCTCATCATCTATATAGTCTACTCCGCTGTGAATAAAGGCAATATCCCTGAATCAAACCAGAGAGCAATATACTTGGATTGCAAAGAAACGAACAGGCTCTCCTACTCATACCTCTTCCTATAGGAGGACGATTAAGGAAGTACTGGAGAATAACTTTATGGCGTCTCTTCCTAGGAAATAAACAACTTATTGAAACCAATTAAGTCCGCTGATTCCTCCCTAAAGGTACTTGAAGAATATCCTCTTTTATATAGATAGATATGCTGGTCCAAATCGACATGATAGGCTTTGCTATGCAATAATCATAACATGCCAATGTCATGCCTGCTGCCACTGGTTCTGGAATAACATCAGTGCTACCGGTATAGGATATAGTAGAGCCTAATGCCATTGGTCCCTTTCTTCGTCGAAGTCTGGGATCAAAATGAGTCCCTGATGTCGTGAGGAAGTGACTATGAATACAGGGAGCAGAAGCAAGGAAACCTCTCATAGCCTCTCAATGTATGATGCATGGACACCAAGAGTGAACTCATGACGGAGTCAATAGTTCCATCACTTTGCATATTCATTGCTGCATGCAGGAAGTGTGGGTCCATTTTGCTCCGGGATTGGGAGACGATTACAAAATACGCATCAAAGAAGCCCAAAATCCCATGCTCATCCTTCCATTCAACGTTCCTGCGGTCGGAGCAATCCATTATGGCCTCTCTCAAAGTCGCAATAGTGGGAGCAAGTGGTGAAACAGGACAGTCCATCGTGGAAGGATTGCTCAGCTCGTCCGACCCTGAATTTGAATGTGATCAAATATGCCCCTGATCACACTTTACATGACCCTAATAAACCGCCCATGTCTCTTGCCAAACCGGTCAATGTTAACATGAAAAGCAGGGGAGTCTCCATTGTCCCTGTGGACTTGAGCGGGCCGGATTGACTATGTTCTCCCAACTACCCAACCCGACCAATCTATCGGCCTGGATGGAAATGTGCCGAGTGCGTTGGCTGATATCAGGGACACTATGTCGCTAGGATCATCGCGGACCCGCGCACTTTGAATAAGAAGGTGCACATCTATAATGAGGTTTACGCGAGAAACCAAGTGTATGACTTGCTCGAGAGGCTGAGCGGAGAGAAGCTCGAGCGCAGATATGTTTGTTTCTCTGTCTAGTCCCCAAGCGATTGATTCAAAGTAAAAGTGCTGACTTGCTGTTCTTTCAGATATCAGAGGAAGATGCCTATGCGCGCGTGAGAGGCTCATGCTGCTCTCAAGAGAGACCCGACAGATGGAAGTGCATTAGCCGCACTCACGATTTCTCAGCTGTTCTTCTCCTGGGGATCCGTGGTGACAATACCCCCGAATACGCCGAATATCTCGGTTATCTAAGCGGCAAGGATGTATATCCAGATTTTAAGTTTACGAAACTTGAAGAGTTCATTCAAGAGGTTCTGGAAGGGAAGGCAAAAGGCATTTACCAGAGTGGCTCTCAATGAGAGACTTCTTCAGCGAGTTCGGATGATTAAAGGACAGACTAAGGAGGGTAGTAGATATCCTCATGGCTGGAGATACTGTCTGTTACAAAGAACAACGGCTTGGAAGGAGTATTAACTATATGATCGAGACATAAGACTATGTAGCTTGAGAGGTATCTTGGACGCTTCTCTTGGCCAGGAATGTTAATTCACTTCGCTACCTAATCTGCTCGTCTGCATATCACCGAACATCCGAGAATCAGGGCCACATCACCGAGTTTTAGGAGGCTGGGGAAAGCTGTCCAGAATTACCTCTTTGCCTTCGACCGTGAAATTAGCAGTGGGATATTGGTTCTCTCCCACATCCACCTCCAGAGTGTACCGTCCCGGGTACAGCACCAAGTCACCGTTCTCCGCCGTCCGCGCCAACGATCCCAATGTGACTTCAATATCAACCGATCTTTTCTCGCCAGGCTTGATCTGCTTCGCACGTGTGTAGCCCACCAGCGTCTTGAGAGGATATGGCTTTGGTCCTGCATCCGTAGTCTTCAAGAACAGCAACGCCACATAATCTGACGTGATCTTTCCTGTATTGATGACTTGGATGCGGAAGGTGTCAAACGGAGCTGTATCGACCGGTACATGCTTGGGTGCGCGGGCCACCAGCGCTGCAGTGCTATACGGTCCTAGAGCCTTCCGAGACTAGGTGATGTTGAAAGTCGTATAGTGCAGACCAAAGCCAAACGGCACGACCGCCTTATCGTACCACCGGTAGGTACGTCCTGGAGTGTCCGACCCCGGACGTAGGGCCATATCTGTCATTGGAACCTGGTTGACATAGTCTGCCGGGTTTTGAGTTACTGGCAGGCGGCCCGCAGGCGAGGTCTTCCCGGTGAGGATATCGAAGATGGCGGATCCGCCTTCTTGGCTGGGATAACCGGTCCAGAGTAGAGCGTTGACGTTCGGATTCGAGAGTAGAGATGAGTCGTCGACTTGCCCGCCTCCGAACTGGACTACAACGAGGGGCTTGCCGATCTTTGAGAGCTGGTTGACCAAGTCCAGCTGGTTCCCGGGCCAGACGATGGTGGTGCGGTCGTGACCTTCGGCCTCGATGCTATTGTCGATACCACCTGCGTATACCACGACGTCTGCTTGTTTGGCCGCTGACAGTGCTGCGTCAAACCCGGCGGTGCTGTCTGTGTTGATAGCTGTGCCGGAGGCGTATTTCACATTATATCCCAACTGGGTAGCGGCCCATAGGAGCGTGCGGATATACTTTGGAGGGCCCTCGTAGTTGCCTTGCATTTGCTTTGTTGCGTTGGCATATGGTCCGATCAGGGCCAGCGTGCCATTGGGCTTGAGTGGAAGGGTCTTGTCGTTCTTCAATAGAACGATGCCCTCGACAGCCGCCTTGTGAGCGAGTGCTTCTGCGGCAGGGGTGTCGACATCCTTCCACCCGATGGAGCGATACGGTTGCTTCTCTGCGGGATCAAAGTACCCCAGTTTCACGAGGGAGGAGTACAGCCGAACAAGCGCGGTATCAAGCGTCTGGTTGGAATAGAGTCCCTCGTCTGCGGCCTGTCCAAGGTAATTGGGGAACACGCTGCCGCAATCCAAATCCGTGCCTGCGTTCAGCGCTGTAGCAGCGGCCTCGACTGGAGTCTTTGTGTAATTATGGCCGTTGTAGATATCGTCGATGGCACCGCAATCGCTCGTGATCCAATGGCCCGGCTCATCCCACTTCCAGTGCTCGCGAAGAATCGTCTGCAGGAGATAGGAATCGGCACAGGCAGGAACGCCATTCCATGCATTGTAACTGCACATGACGGCATCGACCTTGGCATCACGGGCGCAGCTCTTGAAAGGAGGGAGGTAGAACTCGGACAGATCCTGCGTCGACACCTCCGCGTTGAAGGAGTGGCGCACGACACCATTCCAGTCCTCCAGGTCATACGCTGCAAAATGCTTGCGGGTGGCCACAACCTTGGGATTCGCCGGGCCAATGCCATTCTGCAGCCCATCAACGAGATGATAGACATATCGCGAGACGTGCAGCGGGTCTTCCCCTGGTGTCTCCTGTCCCCGGCCCCAGCGCGCATCGCGAAACGGGTTGATGTTCGGCGTCCAGAAGTCCAGTCCGGCACGACCAACGTTACCAAATGCCCGACCCTCGGTGCTTACAACTGTGGCGACTTGCTTGATCAAGTCGTCGTCGAAGGTCGCGCCCAGGAGAATAGGCTGGGGAAACGAGGTGGCATAGCTGAATGGGCCGCTGTCGGCGAACTCGACGCCAGGTGATCCTGCTACGCCGTGCAGTGCTTCGCTCCACCAGTTGTATGCTGGCAGGCCTAGTCTCGGCACACCGGGAGAGTTGTATTGCGTGTTGTTGACTTTTTCCTTGAAGGTCATGGCGTTCACCAGTGACCGAGCACGAGTGGTCACATCGAGGGACGTATCACAGACAGCGAGCTTGCTCAAGGGACCGCTGGTGCAGTCTGGGAAGTTGTCTAGCGCGAGAGCCACAGGAGTCAGAGAGATAAAGAGGGCAATGACTTTGCCATATTGCCACGACATGATGCCAGCCATCGCGTTGCCTGGTTTGGAGGTTTTCATGGCAACAACGAGGCATATCGACAATACTTATATATTCGTGATCGCGGCTCATTCACGACTCTACCGATGTAGGAATCGGCAGATGCCTTGTATTTGCCTACCGCTCATGATGATATCTATCACTCATCATTTCAGCCGAAATTGAAGGCAGAATCGCTCGTTCAAGTAAAAGTCCTGTGGACCCCTGCACGCTGGTGGGACATGGCCAATGAGTAGTATACTAGCAGATGTGTACATTGAGGAGATGAGCACAAAGAAGCATGTTTCAGGGATTAGTTTAGCCTGAATATGCAGTGTTGCGGGGGATCGTCAATGTTGGTGTTCCAGGAAGGGTTTCCTCGGGATGATCCAAGTCAGCAGGAGAATCTCAATTGGCATAGGCAAGCAAGTGAGGTACCTACATTTAGGTAATGGATGATGATAAATAGTGGTGAGCTGTGAAATAGATCATGACCGAAGGCTGATATTTACAAACATGTGTATAGGATCAGAGCATGATAATAAAGATACTCTCAGGAGCAATATAGTCCAGTTCAGGACACCATCATCAATGAACTACACTAGTACTTTGAAGGAAGTGATATAGCCCCCCTTGCCTTTGGTCCAGGAATAATGAAATAAGCTCGATGTCCAGTTGTATGATTCCTCCATGACCCAAGCTGGGATACTGTCTTCTGAGTCAGTACTTTGAATGATACAGTCCGGCCAGGCTTTGCTCGCATCCACAAATAGTGGAATGGTGTTGGCCTTGGAGGCTGGCTAGAACATATCATGCTTTATGCTCATGGGCCCGACCTGCAACTCCGTTTTCACCAAGCCTTAAGCCAACATGTACTGCATTCTCACTGTCAACATAAAGGATATGGTAAAGGTAATCCCCCTTCTGACCATGGTTCTCTGTGACTAGTGGGAGGCAACCAATGTCCTCACAGCTTATTCTTGTCTTTCTTAATATCATTCTCACCTGAACAAGAGTGGCTTGTTCCATGGTACTTAGTCCCTGGACCCATCCTTGCGATCTATCACAGTTCATAAGGCAAGTCTGGCATGTGAAGGTGAGAGGTGAATCATTTATAGTTCCAAGACTGTTCCTTGGCACTGTCAATAATACCATCTAATATCTTGGTTAGATTCTTTCCAGTACACGTACAATCGGAGGTCAAGACATTGGTTCGATTCATTTGTTCACTGGCCCTGACACGAATGGTTTCAGAGACTTAGACCAGGGTGGAATTGAGTGATCGAGCAGCTATAGGTGCAAATTGACGAACTGCTTGCTCAGTGGAACGTCTGCTCCTAGGGTCCAATACGCACGCAGTTCTTGTTGGAGGACGGGACAGAAGGTAGTTTCGTCTCGGTTAGAAGCTGGCGCTTCTTCAGCGCCTCGGTGCTCCTTGAATAATGCTCATCTATGTCTTCATCGATCTGGCGTTTCTTTGCGCATTGCGGTGACTGGTTAGATAAAGCGTGTTCTTCTACATTGTCGCGTCCCTGGCCAATTGACAACTCTAGGATATCCTCTCGAACAGGCAAGATGGATGGTACGTCCTCTTGCGCCGCTGCCCAGTTTCCCCTCTGTATTCCAGCCTCGCGGATCCAGCTTCAGTAGTGCAGCCTGCCGCACGCTAGGTGGGGCAATCAACTCTTCCCAGGTGTATAACAGAGGAGAGTTATCGTCATCACAAAAGTATAGATTGTAGAGATGTCGCAGCTTGAGGTTAGCTGCCCGGTTCATGATTCCAAGACGGGGACTTCCTAATGCTTGTAATTTAGGCGGTTATTGACTACTTCAGTAGTCATCTTGTTCTTACCAGCCTTATGCTGGATTGGCGTAAGGTTATGCTTCGTGAGGAGACCCATCTCCCATGGGTCTATCTCACCGTTCACGTCGCGTTGGTTATCCTTTTCGGTTAGACATTCAATCTCCTCGATGTCCCTCGGATCAAGATGGTTGACTATGGCATCAGGGTGGTGATCTTGCAGGTATTTGATCACTCACAACTCCCAATTTCTGCGGTCAATGCGCCAGTCTCTTATGTTCTGCTGGAAATCCAGCCATTCGCTCCTTGTTATCTGCATATAGTTGTTCAGCATATCCCGGGCGAGGTTAGATACAAGCCATTGGCGCACCGTGCCATTCTCTGGGTTTTGATAACACTACTCTCCAAGGATTAGAGGCACTTTTTCAATCCTTTTATAATTTGGGTAGAGGACTCATCAGAGGCTGTTCGGGCCCTGATTCCTCCTCAAGGTTCAAAGTCACCCAGCCACTTTTCAGATCTTTCCTTTGTGTGATTTTGGTATTGGTTATAATTTGGAAGACCTGGATGTCTGATAACCTGACATTCTGTGGCGGCACAATATGTCATCGGTATATGGTTCGACAATTTTCCACTCTTCGGCATTCCCTGCGCTTCCTGGGCCATCTGCCCAGGGTACCTGGGAGGTAACTTGTGCTCATAGTGTCATCATCGATTCAGTCTTTGCTATCTGCATATAGTTGTTCAGCATATCCCGGGCGACCGACAACGGTCCAGGTGCGTGCGGGCGTAGCCTGAACACGGTACCCATCAGGTGAATACCATATCACCGGACATAGTTAGTCGAAGAAGTCCGCCTCGATGCCAGAGACTCCCAACGCGTCATTCTCCCATCCCAGGGTCAGGAGGCTCTTGGCAGAGCGATAATCTGCCGACTCTTGGGCCGAAACCCTGACGTGGGTTTAACGGACATGGCCAGGCTCCGCGCGACGTCCAACTAGGAATAGGTCGTATTGACTGGTCTACTAAGCGTCAGTCATGAAGCCTCAAAATGTACCGAACATGATCTGTCAACGTACCTTGCGTTTCTTCTTCTTGCCGGTTATGCCATGGTGCGAGCGGTGCAGTTGTTCGTTGTTATCGGATGCGTTGATTAGGTCCAGTAACAGCTGAGCGACCTCCTCGCGAATCGCAGGAGTCTGGTCCAGCTGGATATCCCAGAGACGGCGGGAAATGCTCAGGATCTAGCGCTTCTAATCCGGTATGAGTGGCATGCACCGCAAGGTCATTCCGCTTCTCCGCTGGGACCTGAGCCTTTGCAAATTGGGTCCTGCTTCCTTTGGGATCGATTGCGCAATAGCGGGTACGAATCCGCTCACTCTTGGCTTAACCACATTCCAAAGGTCTACTGGCAGTGGATTTCTGTTTCTTTTCCAATACCAATAGCACCTGGAGCGCCATCTTATGGAACCATAGATGGTTCCTGGCTTCCAGGTCCATCTACCTTCTGTAGATTTGCAATTTTCACAAATCTTTGGAGCAACCGATTTGATCCCTTGGCGGATTGGGTGATATAGCGTCCAGTATCCCCATCAACGTGGACTGGGCTTGCGTCCATCGGAAAGGGGTTTGTCGTAATAGCTCTGGGCAATCACCGATAGGTTTTGTTTTACTGAATTTCTGACCCTAGAGAAACGAAGCTTCGCTTTGACCATGGTAGCCGAAGACTGCTAGCAATACTCGCAGGCAAAAGATGGTCAAGATGGTAAGGAAGGGAAGAAAAGGAGAGAGAGAAAGAGGGAGAGGGGAGCCCTTGAAAATTTACAGGTTGAGTCTACGCCCCACCTGAGAGTGATTGAGGCAGTGAATGTGAGCTCTCGAATATTCATCTTGCACAGTGAATAATGCGGTACAACAAGGCCTTTGTGAATAAACATAAATATAAGGAGAAGGTGTACAGCACTGCGTAAGGGTGTAACTAAGGGAGGCATCATGGACTCTAGTACAGCAGACCTTTTCTTTCTTCTGGTACTCCATCTGCGATAAAGATGATGGGAATGGCTTCTTACTGGTGCTTATCATCATGGTGACAGGCACTGGGGCGAAGGCCTCGCGAAGGAGGGCCTAAAAGGGTATGTGGGAATAGAGTCGTGAATTAGAGCTAATATGTCCTATTCTAGCCATGCTGCAGGACAAGACTCCTGGGATTTATTATCAATTCTCCCATTAGCTCGAAACAGTTCATCATGATCGTCTATCATCTAAATAGCATATCTAAACTCGCGATTCTCAAAATCGGTCCGGTCCAGAAACTCATGGTCCTTTTCCACCACGTACGCATCCCCCAGCGCTTCCCTTTCCGCATCCCGCTTCCTATTCTCCCGGATCGACACCCACCGGATCAGACACAAGTCCAAGGTGATAAGAACATACAGGATCACAATCGAGATCTTTGCCGGAAGATACCTCGGGGCGTCCTTGTGCTGAAACGTCTGCGGCGATATGATGTTGCCCACTGTATACGCGATGGTCTGGATGCATGAGACGGTGATCTTCTTTGTCGACCCGGCGACGTTGGTGCTCGTCAGCCCCAGAATCGTCGTCCATCCGATGGGGATGCCGCCAGACAGATAATACCCGACCAGGGCAGGAGCTTTATTCGTCGTAGCCATGAGGATCGCACCCACGATACTCGGGATATGTCCGGCAATACACCACAGCAGGCGCTGGTTCGTGCGCATAGCGAGATACGTCAATCCGACCAGAACGACCACCTCGTACGCTCCCAACGGCGTCACGAGCAGCAGGCTCTTCGTCGCCGAGTACCCCATCCCCGTAACAAGGATATTGCCGAAGCTGGTAGCGATCGAGTTCGGGATATTCGCGGCAAAGACCCAGAACGAATAGAGCCATGTCTTGGGATCTCTCAGCGCCTCGTAGAACTGCTCACGCTTGAACACCGAGCTCCCAATACCCTGCTCGTTGCCACGAAGACGCTCCGCATGCAGCGCCTTCTCCTCGGCGGACAGGAACCCCGCCGTGACGGGCGAATCCGGCAAGATAAAGAAGAAAAGCACGCCCACCAACGTGGTAAAGACACCCAGAATGAGAAAGATCACCTGCCATCCGCGCAGCGCCGCGTGCGGGTCGCTGCCAACATGAACCGCTACCCCGTACGCAACGTACCCGCCGAACATCTGCGCCCAGCCGCACATGGAGAACCACAGTCCCACGCGGAACGCCTGTTCCTCCTTGCGATACCACTGCGACGTGAAGACCACCCACGCGGGGACGATCGCGGCCTCCGCGCAGCCCAGAAGTGTACGGCAGACCATCAGCGACGCAAAGGACTTGCAGGCTGCCATGCAGGCGAGAATGATGCCCCAGATTGTGACGTTGGTCGCGACGTACCGGGCCAGCGGGAAGGCCTGGATGAGGCTGGTGGGAAATTGGAACGTGAGCTGGCCGAAGAAGAAGATGCTGGAGATCCAGTTGAACTGATTGCCATGGAGGTGTGCTGATTCTTTGATGCCTGTCACGCTGGCGTAGCTGATTGCGATCTTGTCTAGATATTGGCAGAAGTAGACGATGCAGATCAATGGCATCACGTACAGGTCGATCTTGCGGACGAGGCGGCGCGAGGCTTCAGCGTCTAGGGCTCCATTCTCAGTGCCCCTTCCTGCAAGAAGCTCCAAAGCTGCATCGCCTTGTATGGGGAGCTTGTCCTGTGTCGCTTTGATAGCTGGAGCTTCGTCATCCCCCAGACTTTGTGGAAAGTCGACCGCCGTTGCAACGCCCATGGCTAACTGTTGTGCTGCTCCAGGGCGATGAAGAATCAACGATTGGTATAGATGAGAATATCCCAGCAGAATCATACCTGGTAGAAGGAATAAATACTCAAAGTTTTCAATCATTAACCATGATGGCACCAAATCACGCCATCGCGATACCGTCTTGGCATTACGTCCAGGCATGGCAGAACACCTTCCACTGTGCAATTGGGTCATAATATCCAATTGTTCTTATCAATTCCGTCTCGTAATTCTCGGCTGTCTGAATGTTCTGAGGTTTGCTTCGCTTTAGCTCGGCTAGATGGAAGTGGACACTTTGCTGGCGTCTTGTGGTCAATGACTGGTCCCCAATGATAGTTTCGATGCTAAGAAATGGTTTACAAAGTTGAGAGGACAACGCTGGCCGAAGATTATCCTGAAACTTCTTCTAGAATGTCGGCATACCGACTCAAAGACTGCCCTATCAGATTGACCACCTCCCAGATATGATCCGTCGTAAACAATCTGCCCCAAAGGCGAGTGACAATTGCACTCAGCCGGGTATTGTTCTCCAACAACCATTCCCGACTGATTCCATGCTGTGTCTCCATAACCATCTCGATCACAAACTCTAGAAGCTTATTTTCCTGCTCCGTCAAGGCGGGGTCAGGATTCGGCACCGTCACCTTCTCGAGCCATTTCGCCAGTAGCACCGCGCATTCCAACGAACACAGTGCGTATTGGTTCGACCAGGAGGTAACCAGCGAGTGAGCTACGTAGTTGATCCCCAGCTTGATGGGCGTGCTCAGAGCATGAGCGCAGTGCAAGGCGGCCCGTGTCAGCCGGTCGCCCCGCTGCACAGAAAGGTTCTGGCGCAGGGATTGCGCAATCTGGCTCGGTTCCCAGGTTTGCAGACGTCGTGCGGAGGTAAAGTCCGCGTTGAGGCGGATGTAGGCTAGACGCAGGAGGGCGGTGGACGTGAAAGAGAGAGGCCCGTGAGGGTTAAATGGATCTATGGAAGATTCCTGGTTGCGCTCCCAGCATTGGCACCATTGTTCGAGCGCTTGTTCAAGCGATAAGACTTCTTCTGTAGAGAGTGAGCTGTTTCTCGATAGGGGCAGGCGACGAGCCTTTTGGAGGAGCCAGATATCCTGTAGAATGGCGTGGATCAGCACATATCCACCCAAAGAGGAGAAGGTCTCCAGGTTTGACTTTGGTGTCGTAGGATGAGTGAAAAGAGACGAAAGCGCGTCTTGCAGCTTTGGTTCCGGCGGTGTCTGTCTGCCCTCTTGCATCCAAGCAACGGCACTTGCGGCATGCCATTCCTTTTCGCTGCATGGGAGATCCATACTGATTTCCTCGGTGAGGATGAGTGGTGTGATATCGAAGACAATGGTGAGGATATTGAGATAGCAGAAAACAATGAGTGAGGTCCTTTTCACACACTCCCGGCGTATCCAGCTTTCCCATGAGCCATCCTGCTCAGGCAGCTCGTTCAGTCCTCCCTTTCGGAGCATTGTCTCCATAAAACTCCGCATGAAGAGGGATTCGTGATGGGATGGATCGCGTTTGAACCATGATGAGACTGAATGGAGCAGCAATAACGCCTGGATCGTTTCGAGTAGATCTTGGCTTTCAGGAGTCCCAGGAGACGAAAGTCTAAACTTTTCGGAAAACTGACCCGGCCCAGGAAACTGATACGTCCTCCGAACATGTTCCATGGTAACGGTCCTTGCGATTCGATACAGGCTCAAACTTGTACCTGGTTCCCGACAGTACCGAGCGCCTAATGCTGCCATGGAAAGAAACAGCGGCAAGCTCACATTTTCAATGTCCAAGGTGGGGATGTGCATGAATGGGTAATGATCGTGATATCCAGACAGATAACCTGTAAGGCATCGGGACAAAGCGTGTCGAGACGGGATGTAAGGATCTGGTAGGACATTGGTGTAATCAGCGAGCAGGGTAATTATTCCGTCGCGACACTGTGTTGTGACAAAAATGGCCCCCTTCGGCTGTCGCGTTCTATGGGAGGTTTGCGGGCTCTCGGGCTGAAGAGAGGGCAACTGCGTCCCATGACGAGGAAGCACCGAGCTTGACGGTGTCACTGCTGCATCCGCCGTGCCTGTTCGGTCAACTGAACGATCGTAATCCGCAGCCGAGTCAAAGTTCCACGCGGGAAATACAGGTAGGGGCTGGTACGTCGGCGAGTAAGGGTGGCTGGGGAGAGGAATGCTGTCAAGGAAAGACGTAAAGTCGTCCCCGTCGTATGCGTTGGATGTAGTGTATCCGGAGAAAGTTTCACCAAAAACAGCAGTTGCTTCGGCTGCGCCAGGTAAAGAATGGCCGGCGAGAGGCGTCTGATCCGCGGCTGCCGGTCGACCGGAAGAAAATGAACCTTGGCTGGCCGAGAGTGGATGCTGATGCCGCCCGCGGGGAGGCCCATGAGTAGTGGGCACGGTACGATCCGCCACGGCGGACGCAAGGATATTCAGCCCATCCAACACATGGTCAGTGGATGATGGTGCGGGCGTTGGATGGTCACCATTGTCGGTGTCGTGGGTACCGGATGGTGAACTATGGGACAATCGCTCATGGCGGGTCAAGAGATCCCTAAGCACTTAGTATATTCTCTTCTCGCGACCCTCTCGTTGCTCAATGCGGTACTTACTTGCGAGTGAACGATTTTGGACACTTGTCGCAGACATACGGCTTCTCTTTGGTGTCTACAGGAGCGGTCAGTGGATTTGGAGACGAGGCATCGGGGAAGCAACTCACGCGACCGATCGTGGCGCTGGAGATGCTCCAGCCGAGCAAATGTCCGGGAACATCGCTGGCATTGAAAAGTCCGGGCAGCCTTGACCATTTTCCATCACGATGAGATTGTCGTGTTTTTATGTTCCTGAATACTTGTGCCACTCTCCAACCCGGAGTGTCTCTCAAGACGTCAGCAATGCCAAGAAACAAGAACCGCGGCTGTGCGCTCCTCCCCGGTCGCTGCAGATGACGAGCGCCAACACAGGTGTTCTCGCAGTGGAATTGGCTTGTGAGCACCAGAGAATGACAGCAATCGCACGGCACCGATGCTACTAGATGGAATCGATAAAGGAACATGATACTTGCAAGGCGAGACTGACAAGTTCTTTGCACTTGGTCTTGGTTCAAAGGGCTTACCTAAGGCGTGATGCGGGACTGGATGCGGAACCGGCATCTCGGAGTCTACTCTCGGTAGATGACGCTGCCAGTTGACAGCAAGTCCTCGAACAGAAGGACGAAGGAAATAGTAATAATATGCATTGATCACATTTTTGCGCGCCTTTTTTTGTCCAAGATTTTGAACTGTCACTGTCCAATTCCATGACATACATCATCTCCAGCATGTGGACATGGGTCAGAACGCGGCCCTTCTCCGAATTGCGCCTTCTTCCACCCGCAACTGAATTGGAGAAGGTGGAGCGATTAATAATGGAAAAGATCAAATTTGAATTCAGTAGGGCATCACAGTGGTGAAAACTTGCAAAGAAAGATAATCACCCAATTAGCTTGAGAATATCAATGGCATCGCACATATGACAGGTTCTTCGCATCCACCAAAGCGCAACTTTGGTGCATTTTTTGCAGTCCGTAGAGGTGCCTTACCATCTCCAATTTTCTCCAACTAATGGTAAACGAATCGAGTTTTCACGACTCTTAAAACGATAGGATAGCCTGTAGCGTCATTCGTTGTTATAATAGTCGAAGCTTGTCCCAACTGTCAACTTCCAGAGGTGTATGGCGCAGGAAACCAGGCAACATCTCAACAGGGTGGACTTCTGTACGTAATTCAATATCTACGGCGTCCTTTATCATACAACCATGGACAGCGAGCCTGAAAAGGACGCTCGCGACCAAGAAGTGGAATATCTATACCTAGAATTGGACACTCCTCTGCCGACACCATTCATCACTTCACCTCCGGGACCCGGCCAGTCACCCGCCCCAGAATGTCCAGATCTCAAGAAGTATTCCAGTCCGTTTCTATGGCCGGAATGGCGCAAGTCGATGATGACATGGATCTCCTGTGCAGTTACAGCATTGGCGGGTTACTCGGCTGGCGAAATCAGTCCGTCGTCGGCTGAACTGAGCAAGGAATGGGGGATTAGCCCGGTTGTCTATAACCTGGGCATCACTTTGTTCTGCATTGGATTTGCGTTGGCGCCAATGGTACTGGCTCCGTTTTCAGAAATCAACGGCAGGAGGCCAATCTTCATTGCTAGTGGAATTGTCTTTGTCGGTATGGTGTTTCTCATGAATGACGGGCAAAGAGTCCCAGATGCTAATGATATGCATTTAAAGCATGCATCATTGCCTGTGGAGGCACTCACTCCTTTGGAGGAATGCTTGTGGCACGATTCTTCCAGGGCGCTGGTGGATGTATGTCAACCCTAGCACCATAACAATCCTGTTATCACAGCTTACTGACAGCCGCAGCGACATTCTCAACCATGGTGGGAGGCGTGATCAGCGACATTTACCACGCAGAAGACCGGAATATCCCCATGGCATTGTTCTCCGGTGCTGCTCTTTTTGGTACCGGACTGGCCCCGATGCTTGCTGGCGCCGTTGTGCAGCACACTACATGGCGATGGGTTTGGTACTCCCATGCAATTGTCTCAGCCGTCTTCGTTGTTATTATCTTTTTCTTCTTTAAAGAAACCAGAGGCAGCGTGCTTCTGAGTCGAAAGGCAAAAGCACTCAATACGTACTACGACAAACTGGAAAGTGCTGGTCATTACGGAGTCATCATGTCGGATAAGGAGACGGTCAAGCGCATCCGGTGGAAGGTGAAGAGTGATGAGGAGAGGGCATCTTTGGCTCATATGATCAGTATCTCGTGCTATCGGCCGTTCCGTGAGTTGCCATCCATCTACTATCCGACGAACGCCATGCTAACCAAGGAACCAGACTTACTTCTGACCGAGCCAACCGTGTTCTTCTTCTCTCTGTGGGTATCCTTCAGCTGGGCAGTTCTATATCTCCAATTTGGATCTGTCCCGCTGGTCTTTGAGACCAACCACGGCTTCAACGTTGAGCAAAGCGGCGCCGTCTTTACTTGTATGTCAACCACTATCACCCAATACATCCCTCGCTGACAACTTCCAGCCATGTGCGTTGGTGTCATCATCATAACCATCATTAGCATCTACCAAGAAAGCATCGCGAGACGCTTCGTCACTCTCCCCGAATCCGCCGAGCGTCGACTCTACTTCGTCTGCATCCAGTCCCTCCTGATGCCGATCGGTTTGTTCTGGTTCGGATGGACGTCTTACCCCTCCATTCCGTGGATTGTCCCAACGATAGCAGTTGGATGCGCTACCATGGGCATCTTCTCCGTCTACCTAGCAACCTTTAATTATTTAGCAGACACCTATCACCGATATGCCAGTTCGGCGATTGCGGCGCAATCTTGCTGTAGGTTCTCTTTCATATTCTGTTGCTCTGAGTACTGACTCGATGACAGGTCGGAATCTCCTCGGTGGTGTCTTTCCTCTGGTAACCAACGCCATGTTTACCAACCTGGGATATCCGGGCGCTTCCAGTCTACTCGGTGGGATTGTAAGTTTCCGTATCCGTGCGAAGACGCCGCTGCTGACCTTGACAGGGAGCGTTGCTGTGTATCGTCCCCTGGGTCCTTCTGCTGTTTGGACCAAAGATTCGGGCCAGGAGCAAATTTGCAAGTGTAAGTTATCGGCCATGCGTTCTGCTGTGCTTTACTAATTGTAACAGGAACTTGCACACTAGTTCATTATGATCAACACAATAGACTATATGCATAATGATAGAGTTGAATTCATTTCGACTAATCTTTTGAAACCCAAACTCCGTTGTTGCATACTATCACAATCAAGCAAACCACTAGCAAAGGACCTGACCATGTCACTGGAGATAACGCATCTTCAACGCGGTCATACATACCTGATTTCAAGTAATTACCGCCGACCCCCCACTCCCCCCTCTCTTCTGAATATCCCTCAACCCCTTCAACAACCTCTCAAACTGATCCATACTCCCGTGCCCAGGAACCTTTCTGATCCTCACCTCCTTATGCTTCCTCGTCCACCCCTTCGCACTCGGACTCAAATGCTCAATCGTATGCACCGCCACCTCCAGCTTCGGATCCAGCAGCGCGCTCACCTCGCGGTGCGCAGCGCTGAAGAACAGCGGATCCACCTCGCCGTGGAGCTTGCATTCGGCCTCGAGAGCCTGCGATTCTATCTCCGGGGTGGTGGTCGAGGGGTCGAAGGAGGAGGTGTGCTGTGCGACGTCGTCATCGGTCCCGGACTGGGTGTTTTCGGCTCTTTCTGGGTGGAGGGTTTGGCGGTCGAGTTCGAGTTCCGTCTCGGGGGTGGCCTGGCCCTGGATTCGGAGGGAGCGGGTGAGGATGCGTCCGTAGAGGGGGGTTCGTGGGGTTGTTTGTGCTGTGCGGATGAGATTTCGGAGCATTGTGCATTTAATATGTATTGGCCATGGATGATTATTCTGTTTGAGGTGAGGTGCGGTGTGTCGGTTTAAATCCCCGTGGGAATATACTTTAGGGAACCAGTCTGGAGAATGCGGGGAGGCGAACACATCATATCTTCTCGGCGAATCGAGTGCCATCGCTGACATCATGTCGTCGACACGGCAGAAATAGAAGCTACCGATAATTGAGTCCCGATCGGGATTTAACTGGGATGATGATCTCATGATGCGGGACACGTCTTCGGTGGTCTAGGCTTATGTATCGAGTATTGATTTGACTGTCGCCAAGAGATATAGGCAATAAACAACACTCGAATTTTGCGCATAATGCAAAGGGAGAATGACCTATACTAATACCTGGAATCACTTGCCATTGCATATATTTATTTGTTAGCCAATAGCTGCTATCGACACTCAAGCGATCGGCTCTATGGTGCCTGACATCAGTCATCACGGAGTTCAACGCTGCGACTCCATTATCCAATGATCTACTATGTACAGAAATATGAGAACACCATGATGGTGATAATTACATGAAGACGCCAAACCTACAGGATCATCATGACCCCCCAATGACCATAAAAGCTATCAGGCCGACCCATCCCACCGCGAAGCCAATAGTCAAGATGCTAGCACCCGCCTTATCACCCGTGGTGATCTTGCTGGTAGTGGTGGTTTGTGCCGATTTATCTCCCGATCCTGCAGTCGGGTCGCTGGCGCTGTTCCCACCTGTGGTCGAGGTCACTGGTCCTGTGTGTTTCGTGGTGATGAGGTTGACTGACAAGACGTCTGTGACGCTGATTTGCTCCTCCATGCCCGTCCATCCATCCCACTTGGAAGTATACCATCGCACTCCGCAGGAACTGTTGCCGTTGCCCGTGCAGGTTGCGGCGGCCGCCACGGCTGAACCCTGAAGCTTGGGGAGAATTCTGTCGTAAGTGGAGGGAACCAGAAGAGCGGTAAACGCCAGCCAGGAGGTGACAAGGCCCTTGAAGAGGATCTCGTTGTCGTTGCAGACTTCGTTCGGCTCGCAGAGGACCTCGGACATGATGTTGCCGCCGTAACTGGTGGGGAAGAATAGGTCCAGGGTGTTGTTGAGCAGGCCGTCGACGGCAGTTGCCCACTTCGTGTTGGTTCCGTTGGTCTAACTCGTCAGTTTCTGATATATTCTCTGGTTGACTCCGGGGAACGTACGTAATTCCACATGTATGCCGCGCCCATGAGGTAGGTCCCGTAGTTGTAGGACCATTGGTTATTGCCCTGACTCTTACAACCGTCCTCGATGTTGGTCGAATCGGCGACGGTCCACGTCTTGTTGTTGAGCAGAGGCGACGAACAGCTCCAGTCCCATACTTTCTCGGCCCATTCGTAATATGTGTGGTTGTTGGTGTACCGCGCAAGACGGGCAGCTAGCTGGAACAAGCCCCCGTTGGAGATGGCGTTCTTCATCGTATACCCCGCTTGGTACGTATATATCTGCCAGCGCAAGCCTCCTCCGCATGTTGACGTATCCCACCGATCGACCTGCGTGTTGTAAACACCTTGTGCGAGGGAAAGCCAGGAGTAACCTTCCGAGCGATCGGGAAATTGTAGCTCAACGGCGAGCATGGCGGCTAGACCCCAGAACATTTGGTCGTCGTTTCCCTGGCTGGTCAGATGCATCATGCCTTGCATTTGTTCAATTCCCTGCTTACCAAGTAGCTACTGTAGTTGGAAGGCATGTAGTCGCCCTCTCCGGCTTGCCATTGCAAACCCAAGCTCACTTCGCTGTTGTAGGTTTGGTCACCAGTAAAGTACTGGTATTGCAGCATCGCCATGAATAAGGCACTACCCTCCCACCATTTGGTCGGAAACGCACCAGGAATCTGTCCGGACTCGTTGCCATGGTAGTAGCTCATCGCACCGTAAGCAGCAGTGCTGGCGGCATTTTTGATGGATTCTACTGCGGTGTTAGTCCGGCAAAGCAGGTTGCGGATAATAACACATACGGTCATCGTTGATACTGACATCGATCGCCTGTGCCAACGTTGTAAAGAACACTGTTGTCCAAAGGGCATTCCACCCCAATCGTGGTAATGATTGTAAGCGCATGGCGATGTTCTCCTGATGTAAAGTCACCGCAGGACGGAAGTCCAAGGCGGAGAAATCCTGATAAGAAGAAAAAAGCAGCCATCAAATGAGCCTGGCGCCAGGAGATTAATCTGTCAAGCGGCCATTCCCTGCAACTACGTAAGATACTGAAATGAATCGATGAAGCCGCGCACCACTATTGGACTGCTGTGGAGCTGGGTGGGTAAACAGTTTGATGGCTGAGACCTTTGAGTGGGCGCTATCTCCAATAATAGGCCCCGCCGCGTGTCGAGCCGACGTATGCTATCCAGACATCAAACAGTTATATGATCTAAATGCCAGTAGTTGACACGGTTGCCAGTCTTTCCCTGCTATGTATTTGATTGTTCATTACTGATATATGTTTATCTGATTGAGAAAAACATGGAAAAGACTGAAGAAAAATCTATTCAGGTACCAAAATTCTCAAAAATTCACTTTTGAAATCAAAGCAAAAGAATCTTGTGATTGGTTGATAGCCAAGTTCTGTGTGGTGGTCCAAGTGGGGCATGTCCAAAATAAAAGGAGAATTATTGGATGATCCAAAAGCTTCGAAAGGCTTGTTGTTGCTGCCTTGTGGACATGTCACATTACCATGCACTACGGTAATTACGACCACAAAACCAGCCAATTACATCCACGAAGCATCTCCAACCGACGCCTGGAGTGTTTAACTCCGCAAGAGAAGATCAGGTACTGCTGACAATAAAAGAATATCCTAATCCCGATCGCATTGTAGAGTTAGCATATGCAGTTCTGATCTGATGTCTGTGATCACCTGCACTTCAGTCAACAGTTCCAGTCTTAGGACGCATGATTCGGACTTCAGTCGGCTTGATGCAGGTCGTTGGTCATGTTCGCAGCAGGATGGCGGTTATAGAGTATTCGAATAACCGCATCAAGCCTTTTCAGTGAGTTTCTCTGATCCCTCTTCCATGCCCACCAGAGCGGTGTTCGGCCCTCAATGTCCCCTCTCGTAACATCAGCGCATCCTTGGACAAGGAGCTCGACGCACCGCTTATGTTCATTTTGCACAGCCCAAAGAAGCGGAGTTCGACCTGTATGATCCGGCAAGTCGACTTCCGCGCCGTACTGCAGCAAGATCTTGACAACCTTGTCGTGGCCTTTCGCTGCGGCGCATGACAGAGCGGTTCGGTGATCGTGATTGACGCGGTTGATTTCGGCAGATCTTGCCAGAAGACTTAGAATTGTTTCGTGGTGGCCATTATCAGCAGCAAGCATCAGCGCTGTGTTGCCATCTGCATTGGCGGATTCAATACTTGCACCGTACTCCAACAGAAGACAAACAACTGCCGTATGACCCTTCTCAGCCGCCAATAGCAAGGGAACAAACCCCCACTTGTCGCGGGATTCGACATTTGCTCCTTTCTCGAGGAGCAGGCGAACAGCTGATGCAGATCCATTGATGGCGGCGCGAGCCAGGGGAGTCTCGTCCATTGAGTTCTTCGCTTCCAAATCAGCACCTGCTTCGACAAGCATTCTCACAATGTTCGAGTTAACAGGGAGCCCGCGTATGAGGTCAACCCACAAAGTAGAATTGCAATTGGAAATTTCAAGTGACGGGTCGGCCCAATCTGGCAAGGCCCAATGAAGGGCAGTCGCACGGTGCGTATCTGGGGCGTCAAGCCGGGCTCCGTGCTGCAGAAGTTGTTCAACAACGGCGTCATTACGGCTATATACCGCCAGCATGAGGGGCGTTCGCTTGTCATATCCTGCTGCGTCAACACCGACAGATCGGTTGAGCAGCCACTTTACGACGGCTAGGTCTCCACGTCTTGCTGCGTGATGAAGTACCGTATAACCGTATGACCTATCGGGTTGGTCAAGTTTGCCCTTCTCAAGTAAAAACTCCAGGCATTGTTCATCATCAAAGGTCACAGCGGACGTCACCGCGGACGGAAGAAAATCATCAGAAAGATCCACGCCCTTTGTCTGTCTAAGAAGGAGCAATACCACCTGAAGATGATGATTTTTGGTAGCATATGCCGAAGGCGTCCAGTACCGGAGAAGAGCATCGACAGATGCGTTCCTTTTCAGCAATGAACGTACTTTATGTTCGCTGCCGTGCTTAGCCGCAAACGAGAGTGCTGTTTGTCCGCAGGATCCTCTTGCATTGACATCGAGACTATTTTGCAGCACCAGATCGAAAAGGCCGTCTTGTTCTTGTTTCGCTGCTTCCAGTAATGCCGTCAACCCTGTGGCACTTTCCCGTTTATCAACGTCTGCTCCTTGGGCCAAGAGCCGGTATGCGAGACCATGTTGTGCAAAGATAGCAGCATGTAGCAAAGTAGTAGGTGATTCTGGCAAGTCAGAAGAGGCTCCTCTTGCTTCTATCGCCTTTAAGAGTAGTCGTACTTTCTCTTTGGCCCTACTCATCAATGCCCGCTTTACTGGTGTGTTACCATGGATGTTTGGGACTGTGAAATCCGCTCCTGCATCGAGAAGGAGCTTCAAAATTCCGGGTTCAATCCAGTCGCTTAGTGATCGCTGTAAAGCAGTCTCCTGTGATGAGTCAATCGCATTCACGTTTGCACCAAGCTCGATCAGAAGAGAGACACCCTTGATCGAATTGGTTGATATGGCAACATGCAGAGACGTCTCCCTTGCATATTCAGGCATGTCCACCCGAGCTCCTCTTTGCAGCAAAAGCTCAACAACTGCTTCCAGTCCCCATTGTGCGGCAATGCATAGGGGAGTGTCCTGGCGTGCATCAGTTGCATTGATATCTGCTCCAAACTCCAGGAGGAGTCTCACACCCGATATGTGCTCATTTATTACAGCATGGAACAATGCCGTTCGCCCAAGCATGTCTCTTTGGTCCACGTCTATGCCTCGGCCAAGAATTTCCTTCAGCAACGCTGTCTCCTTCTTCCGCACAAACACAATCACTGGACTTTCCTCCAGAGAACGAACATAGTTAAAATCAGTCGTCGCATCCAGCAATAACTTGGTAGCCTCAGTGTGGCATCCCCAGGCTGCAAGCAGCACCGGTGCCGCTGTATTTTTACAGACACATGACTCGAACTTGTCGGTTCTGGTTTGTGTACAATATGGGTCAACGCCAGAGTCCAGTAACCAACGAACGATGTCTGTCTGCCCGGCCCATGCAGCCTCACGGAGAGCAGCCTCCCCACGAACGCAGTTGAAGTAGCCATTGGGTGCGTAATCCAGGAGCCGGTGAATAGTGGCAAGGCGGCCCTTTCCTGCAGCCCATTTGAAGACATCACGTTGGTCATTCTTGATGGTGATGGAATACAACGATGGCATGAAGGCATTGTAGAAATGTCTGCATGTTTGCACAAGAGCATTCCACGAGTGAAGCGGAAGAAAGTCTCTGACAATGAAGACAATCTCATATGGTAGGATCAGCATGCGGCTATCCTGCGTCAAAACGGGCGGTAAATTCAAGTCAGCCATTTCTCCCATGGCCATGATGGTCCCAGAGCTTCTTGACGAACGAAGAAGAACAGAGTAGTATACATGATAAATGATGAAGTTCGTAAAGAAATAAGTAGTATGAGGTCATATCGACACGATGACTGCTGACAGCGCACGTGATATAAATGGTAGTGGATATTGACACTTTAAAGCAAACATCTTGACGAGAGATTTGAGAATCTGTATCTGACTGACTTCTTTGAATTCACTCTTGCAACTCATTTCCCAGTATCCTACAGTACATTTCAGGCGGGGAAATCTCGGGGATAATTGGTCAGAACTCAGAAATGCTTCACCATAGTATTCACAGGGCGCTGCCGAATCGGGTATTGTTGTCTTCCTGCTGTGTCGTCCCTGCACCTGCCATCATTCCTGCAGCTAGAGATGGTTGTCTAGAGGTAGACACCTTTTTGGCAGAGTGGTTTGATATATGACGGGCATCACTAACACTGCCAAGAGTCACTGGGAGGATGAGCCCTCCTGCCCCTCCACGTACGTGATGTTGTAAAAGAAGCATCTTCCTCTCTCGGCCAATCTAAGGCATTCTCCTTTCTCTTTCACAATCCCCGAAACATTGACATGGAATCAATCCAGAGTTCAAAGGCCATATAAATCGGACTTAAGGCGCTCTGCTTGTTCGAGGTACCTTGCGTTGTCATGCAACATGATCCATATCACCGCTCTTCCCAGCGAGCTTCTTACTCTCATTGTCTCTTACGTCGATCCATCATCTTTGAAGAATTTGCGCCAAACATGTCGCCTTCTCTCGTATATCACCATTCAGCTGTTGTTTGAGACCTTGAAACTGTATCCTACCGAGGGCAGCTATGAGATTATGGATGAAATCTTAACGGGTTCAACTTTGGGGGATGCGGTCAAAAAGGTGTATATCAACACACGCGAGCATCCATATGTTAGTATCCTCCTCTAACTGTACAACGAGTGGTATATGCTTACAGAACTAGGACTCAGATGACGAGGAAGAAGCCTACTTTCCCAAAGAATTTGAAAACAGAATTTCACGCCTTAAGACCTTGTCAAAGGTACAAAACGCTGTGTTACAATTTGACAAGCGTTGCGGCGTGTCTAGGCATCATTGGATTAGCAAACCTCCTCAGACAGTCGCCTTTCGCAAAAAGGCTCTCAGTGTCTTCTTTGAATGGCTGGCTTCACTCAAGGTAGCTCTGCAATCCTTGGGTATTCAGCATCTGCAGGATATCAACATCAAAAATGACGAAATACGTAAGAATATGACTAAAGTGCTGCGGGATTTGCGATCTCTTCGCCTAAGCATTGTGAGCGAGCACAATACTGCCACAACAGAAGATCCTGCAGAGCTTTGGAACCAGGACAGATTCAGTCTATTTCCCGAGTCGCAATCCTTTTTTACAAAGCTTCCGTCAGTTTGGCTGAAACCAACCGCGTCGTCTCTTGAACACCTGACCCTTTTCTGCGACACCTGGTTTGGGTTTCGCCCAAAGCTTGAACTGAGCGAGGTCCACTTTCCGCATCTCAAAAGCCTTGTTCTGGGAAATTTTACCTTCTTCCAAGACTCCCAGCTAGAGTGGATTCTCTCACATGGAGCCACCTTGAGTGAATTGTCTCTGGACGATTGCATGATCCTGTATGATCTGTCTCTTTTTGAAGACAACGCGGACGAGTATTCATTTAGCAAAGACGAGATGGAACTCCGCCTTGAGGATGAGGGGGAGGCAGGGTACGGGTACTACTACTCCTACAACAAGCGTTGGCATCATTACTTCGACGCTTTCCGAAAAAGGCTGCCTCATCTGCGCCATTTTCGCATTGGGACTAGTGATTGGACTCATGGTGTACCATTTGAGACGGAATCTGAAATGAGAATCGGCTTACTTGAGGAAAGATACGGGGTGTGCTATGATGGGTGGGTGCCGACTCCATATGTTGAGGTCAGTTAATGGCCTGAACCTTGGGAAAGGGGTCCACCGCACTGCAATAAGGAAGATCGCAAGTCCTTACGCTTCCTGTTCGATCATATTGGGCAAGAAGTCGAGGAGAGTTGGACATTGCACGGGATTCGGGTCAAAAATCTCATAGAGGTCAGGTCATGATGCTTAGTTTGAATTCGGATAGAGCTAGACATGTTACGTTAAGTAGTACATCCAGTGCACCGCATGCGATAGCATCTGAGAAGTGATTCCAAAGCCGCAAAGTAGATCATTTCTACAGACTGGTCTCATTCGCAGAGTATTAGGGGCGTACATGATAAATGGAGAGGGATGTTATGTAGTACATCAGAGCTCTTTCCTACCACCGGAGGACAACTTCACCTTCATCATCATTCCATCTACAGGCTTTCCAGTCACTTGCATTGTCTAGCTTAAACGTCAATGCTGTTGAAAGGTTCCAAAAGAAGACTGGCAAACTCACTTTGAACAATTTCGACTTGACCTCGTACTGCCCTCGCGAATTCAGAATTGGCTCCCCTGCGCTGTCCTTCGCGACCTCACCGAGACCGATCTTCACAAACTCGTACCGTCTAACCACACAAGCCAGAATCACTTGGGACTCAATTGTCGCAAGTCCCTGGCCAATACAGCTGCGCGGCCCTCGCTCGAATGCTCGCCATGCGCTGGGCGGTATCCGAGAAGCACCGGCATCACCGAGCCATCGCTCCGGAAGAAAATCATCCTTCGATTCCCCGTAGACAGTCTCATCACGATGAATGAGCGTCTCGCAGTTGTACATCAGGACTCCGTCAATGCACAGCGACCTTCCATCTGGCAGTTCGATATACGCACCCGCTCCCTCGGGCACCAGTCTCGCCGTTCCCGACGCAGGGTATAAGCGGTGTATCTCTTTGATCACGGCGGAGGTATACTGCAACTTTGTGAGGAGCTCTCCGCCGTTCGGCGCAAGAAGCTTATCACGAACTGCTGCCGGGGAAGGATCAGGCCCAAAGACGTTGTCGAGTTCTCGGCGAATCGATTCAAGAACACGAGGTGTGCGGCTGAGCTCATAGAATGCCCATTGGAGGAGGATGCTGGTCGTGTCATGACCAGCAAACAAGAAAGTTTTCAGCTGGTCGCATGTTTGATCGAGGACAAGGGCGTCCAGTTGCTCGATATCCTGTAGACTAAGGGCGAGAACGCTGCGGGACTTCTTCTTGTTGGTGCTGGCTTCCCTCAAGTCTGCGAATTTGCGTTTGATGTGGTTCTTGATGATAGCATCGAGTCTGCGAGCCAGAGTATATTGGTGCCATATCACCAAGGGGTTCAACACAGTTACACGGACTGAGCTCTTTTGGTGGTAGCTTACAACCAGCTCACGGTAGAGCTTGACCATCTCGCTCTGCTGGTCTAGGGGAAGCTGCGCTCCCAAGTCCTCGTCCATGGTCACTGCACCTAAACTGCCATATGAGCACCAGCACGTTGTCCCAGGAAGTCAGATCCCTACCAATGATATCAAATGTGAGACTGGTACATATTTCAGCCAGACTAAACTCTTCGCCCGAGCGAGCGTATCGATCAAGAGTTTCGAAAAACGGCCCCGTCTTGTTCAGTACGCGCGGGAGCAAGGTCAATAAATGCTGAGGCGCAAAACCAGGATTGAACCGTTTGCGAAGGCTTTTCCATTCCTCGCCCTGTCTTTTGTCAGCCAAGTCTTACATATCAAGCATACTACCTAGGTTATGAATATACCTCGGAACTAAGGATCGAATGAGGGCCCAGCAGATACTTATAAGCCTGCAGATCCGGGGTCTTGGGCATACCATAGGGGAACTGCTTCGAGCTCCTGACTACCTGCTCTGCAATCTCATGGCTGCAGACGACGGCCATAGGCTGGTGCATCGGGCGATTATCGAGGAAAAACAACGGTGGGTTACCAAGGTGGGCCTTGATTTCCTCGAATACGAGGTCTACCTGTATCAATTTGTGGTATATGAGGAAGTTCGCAGGATGAAGCTTACCAATATGCCTGTTCGGCTCACCGCGGGAAATAAAGTCGTGGAGTACCTTCATATGGCCCCATACTCGCGACGGCTTCGGCTGTGGCCATGCTGCGAATTGCTTGGTGCGATAGTACTCGAGCTTATTGAGTAGCCAGAGAGCCAGCAGCGGGAGTGCTGCTACGACGGAGAGAGCGAGGAACATGTCCGCAGAGACAATCCAAGCAACCTAGCTGGGTGGTGACAGAAGGAAGTTGGATAGGGGTCGCCGAAGAGCTTTTATATCTCCAGGCGGGGTAGCATCCTGCAGGATGCAGGATGCATCTTGGCAGGAGTGAACTATCTTCATTGTCATCCATGTACAATATTATTTGACTTTGGGTCTATCTAGGTCTAGACTGTCAGCACCAAGGGAACAGACATCTGCTGCAAGCCTGCAACGGACCTGATACTGAGTTTGAGCTTTTATCGAAGGGTGATGAAGCGGATAAGTATATATTTGTACATAATGGACGAGAGTGGCCATCGACATAGTGCACAATTGAGGAAGTTAATGGGTATGAAGGAGCAATTAATGGCAAGTATTAGTGCTTATACACCTCTTACTTTTTAGGCCAGACAACATATGCCAACCAGATACCCTGTGTGAATTGTGAGCAGTAGTGAACGACGAGACAATTGGAAGGCTTTCAGCGAATAACATATCAACCAAGGGATGCTTGCATTTGACAAGCAAATTGGCCGGATGGCGCAATGGTAGCGCGTTGGTTTTCGGCACCAAAGGTTGCGCGTTCGAATCGCGTTTCGGTCGTTTCTTTTTGTTTTTTGTTTTCTTCCTTCGCCCTCCGTGGTTATTCCTCGATTCTATCTACAACTTCACCCCTTAGCTCAGATTTTTTGATTCCCTATCAATCTCAATTTATTGTCCCTCAACAAACGAAAAGCTTTTAATGTCTGAATAACAGGAGTCATCATTCATAAGACGCTGATGCGTGGATTAGCCGTCAGCATCACAGAAATTGTCCAAGATAACTCTCATCACAGACAGGAGGATCAAAACCGACGCTTGCACTGTGATCACCCGACGGGATAACATTTGCAAAGGACATGCCCGATTCCAAGAAATTGTAAAAGTCGTCAGTTTCGTTTAGTGCAAAATCAGGATGGGAGACTGGTCGTTCCACCACGGCGGATTCCGAAGCCGTTAATCTCGACAGGTCGTCCTGAGCTCCGGGAGCAGTGACATTGCTCAATTTCTCGATCATGCGACCGGCAAGAGCCGAGTTATCTTGCAGCTGATGCAAAATTTCTGAGTATTGCTGGAGCATTCTTTGACTCGCTTCATTGGTTTGAGGGTAAGCCGATTCGACAGCTTTGATATGAAAATCCACCGCCGGCATGAGAATAGCGATGCTGGAATTAGGAAGTAAGGTGATGAGGTTCAAGCGATATAGTTCATCGAAGATGAGGCTGATTCTGTTTAGGATGTGCTCCATCGCGTGGCTGTTGCTCCCTACACTGCGACTGCAGACGACGTACGCCGAGGCGAGATAAAGCAAGAGCAGCCAGGCACGATGGACAAGTATGAACCTTTCCAGCTCCGTGACAGCCGATGAGGTCGGTGATTGATGACGAAGCGCCGGTGGCAATTGTGCGTGCCATCTGCCCAATCTCTGGGCGAGCTCTGCGACTTCGGTAGGGGAAGTTTTGATTCCCGCACTTGCAAATCCGCCTTCGCGGCTGGGTGAGTCAGACAAGTCTCCTGATAGTCCAGGTAATTGGCCTATCTGACAGAGCTTGGATTTCTCAATGAACAACCTCGCTTGGAACTGTTGATACTGCACATCGCGGAGGAAGTCGCAGGTCCCTACTAACGTTTGGACGTTGGGGGATAAGGCACCGAATCTGAAATCGTGTGTACTGGGCAGAGTTTCGCATTCACTGCCGTTTTCTGGAACGCCCATCAAGGTAAGAAGATTACTCGATGTCAGTCGCACATGATTGAATATGGACCACCACGTCCGTCTCCATATTTGTTGTTTTCTTGCGTTTGCCTTGGCTATTTGAGTCTGACTCGAGCTGATCATAGAGATGCAGATACCCAACCAGTGGGAGAGTTCTTTCTGGTCGCGATGCGGCTCAGGATGAGATACCATCAACAGAATCGCCTGAGCATTAGCGAGTCGGTCGTCTTCGCGTTCGAGATCGAGAAGCACCTGCACAGATGAGTTTACACAAAGCGCAGCCGGAGCAGGGGAGAGAGAGGTACCTTCATTTTGCGGCATAGACTCTCACGAAAAACACTACGCGAAGGATATCCCTCGGCACGGATATGGCATACATCGATAAAAGCTGAAGCAGCAAACAGCACGGCGTGAAATAGCAACAGACCGATCCGATGAGATTCATTATCGCCCGCGACAGCTGATAGAAATTCATGCAGGCCCAACATAGGCATGTGCGGATGGACCCATAGCAGATAGCTCTTTAGTAGCTCGTTTCGGAGCATGTCGCTGGGGAGGTCAAGCGCCCCACTACGTCGAAGATACTCGACATCGTCACTGTGCAGCCTCTGTGGGAGACCGGCCAGATAGCTCGGCAAATGGACAGCTGGTGGAGCGGCGGAGCTGGGCCCAAAAAGTTGATTGATGATAGAGATGTGGTAGTCGAGAGGGATGGTTGATAAGACGGCGGGATTCCCGGCCATGCCATTCTTCAGGTTGCATTCTCGCTCGCTTTCTCTGAGCTGTGAGGCGAATATATCCTCTTCACAATATCAGTCATCCTGATGGATATCCTACCTTACGGAAAGTGACAAACCGGGACAATATGTGAGCAACGAGCCTGGCTCCTCGGTCACGCTATGAGGACTGCAACAATCAGCTATACAATATATCTGGTGTATTTACTGAACAAGACTCACAGTGTGCTCCCGTGAGCGTCACAGTCCAATTTGGCCCGACGACAGGACGAACACGAGCCTCCACTGACGCCAACGTAACATCGCTGCCTCGTCTTAACGCAGTTTGAACAAGCTCCAGACTCGGCAGTTCTTGTACGTCTTGGAACGGAATGCATTGCGGCAGTTGTGAGCCCAGAACGCTACTGTGAAGCTAAGATCGAGGCGTGGAGCTTTTTTTCTATGAGCGCTGTGTGAAACATGCCACGGACCGACAGTGATGATCCACACCCGCCTGCCAACCGCGCCTGCCGCGGCATATGCAAAAGTCTCCGTGGTCCATGCTGCAATCAGCCCGACTCCGAAAGTGTTATTGGTTGACTACAAAAGTCTAATACAAACAGGGTTAACGATCAAGGACCTGTGATTGGACAAACGCGAAAGATCGGTCCGGGGCCCCAGATTCGGGTATACGCGGGTCCCCTCGTCCGAGGACCGCCGACCCGAATTACGCCGTAGATATCAACCTGCGAGTTCCGACCGTATTGCAATTGTGGAGAGAAACTAAATCCGGACTGAATGATCAATGCAGACAGTGTTCATCTGTGACTACTGTCCATGACTGGTCTCGTTTATGCTGAAGCTCCAAGCTGGTGACGCTTAAGAGGACCCTGACCATGTATCAAGTTTAAGCAGTCACCAGCGCTCTGCGTCCTAGGTAAGGGACATTGAACTCCCTTTGCTTACTGTACCTACCCAAGACGAGGTTCCTGCCTCGCATTGTCAAGTGCATTCAGGTAATGCACACGGTCTTTGACATAGAACTCGACGTCGATCTTGTTGCGCAGGTGCGCCTCTCCACCGTCGAGCGTGCCGGCCTTGATTCCCGTCTTGTCGCTCATGATCTCCAGCTCCGAGTACAGGCTCGATCCGCAATCGCCGCAGAAGAAGTGCTTGTTAATCTTACCACTATCACCCGTGACCTCATATGACCGCGGAGTTCCTGGCTGGCGTTAGCTTTGTGAATATGTCACCTAGTGTGATGGTGATCATACCTTTGGTGACTTTGAAAGAGTCTCTTGGAACAATAACATTGGACGTGAAAGCACTGCCAGTCCACTTTTCAATTGTGGTCTCAGTGTTCGTCGCCTTGCCATAGTGGCATTCGGCCACAGGGAACCGCCCATACCTTTTGACAGTCGAGACAGTGGCAGAGGCAGCTCACTAAGGGCTCAGCTTGAATACAAACATTAGCAAGAGAATAGGCGGATAACGCTTCTCGGCTTACAGCTTGAGGTATACGCGATGGCACCACACATGCAGCTTCCGTTGAGAGTCATGATTAGGAGCTATTATCCTCTGTCGTTGAAATGGTGAAATGCAGCATAGATCTCAGGATGGACTCCACGCTGGCATCTTATACGAGCAGCGGTCACTCAATTTCTACTATGGTCTTCGGTCTTGGTCGTATATTTGTAAGCAAATATCACGTGCTTCTTGGCCAAAACGGCTAGCGTTGTTTGGACTTTGGAGTATCAATGACCGGCCTAGACTGGTTGTGGGTTGGATATGGGTATACCCACAGCATATTTTATCCAACCCACATGGGTTTTGGGTAAACCATTAGGTATCTCACCCACCCTCATATCCACGTGGGTTGGGTGGTGGATATCCATAGATATCCATACTATCTAGTCAGGTGACCTTGTGAGAGCACTTATGGAATGCTCCCTATCGAATGGTAGATAACGTGGTAGTAGCAATGCCTTTGTAGTAGAACTAATCGCTAGCATCTCGCACCTCAGCAGTTGACGATATCTCTGTGGGTCACGTGCTACACACGTGATCCCTGCAGTTCGGCTATGTACAGGTTCGCTGCGTCTAACAGACCTCTAGTATTCAGATTTCCACCTCTTTTTCTAGTATTCTAGCCACACTACTAAGATATCTATATATTTTATTAAGTTATATAATAGTGAATTATATAAATATTATATATTACCTATTATATAAGCTTAAATAAGCTTATATAGGGGGGTAGAGGTACCTCCTAAGCTTTAGTTAAAAGGTGGTATAGAGATATATATATCTTACTACTACTATCCTAACTACTATCCTCTAAAATCTAAAAACCACTATAACTCTAGCCTTTGTTAGTAGATCTAATATTCTTTTTATATATAGATAGATACTACTATTCTCTATCTATATATATAAAAATAATTACCTATCTAGGCCTAGATCTAGCTAGATAAGCTTATTAGTTTAAGAGACCCTAGATCATGTGCACCTAAGTTAAACCTAATAGTTAACCCATATCCATGTGGGTATAGCAGGTTCAACCCATATCCACATGGGTTGGGTTAGGGCCAGCCCTTATCCACCCAAACTGTGGGTTTGGGTGGGTTGGGTGTGGATTTGTGGGTTGGGTAAGCCAGTCTAGACCGGCCCATGACTCCTCCACATTTGTGTGGCCATACTTGGTATGGCAGAGATCTGATCACATGATCTTGCTCAGTAGATAGCTCCTTCCACTATATAATAGTAAATATAGATTTATATATATAATAAATTAATAAAATATCTTTATATTCTAAACCTCTCTCTGCTTATTCTATAGGTTATAAGCCTAGAGCCTCTTAGAGAGCTCTAGGGAATTATTCCTAAGTTAGAGTTGCATTTGGTGCGAGTTCAGGCAAGTTCAAAACCAGTTAGCACTGAACTGCTGTGATTTTGAGTTCAAATTTTAGAACCCACAGCCAACCTGGATCCAATCTAGGTTGGTGGCGGTTTCACCACAAAAACCCATTACTAGGCCTAGCTAGGCCTAGCTAGGCCCCTACTAACTAACCATGGTTAGATTTAGTTTGATTTTGAGTTGGTTAAACCACTACCCCTTAGTGAATTTTAATGGTTTTTGAATTTCAATGCCTCATCGAATGCCATATTATCTATCATAATATTACTATGCTAATCAAAAATTATCATTTTTATATGAAATATATCATAATTATCATCATACTAATCTATATCTAAAATTTTAATTCAATATCTATAGGGCTGAATGGGGGGTGGTTAAAAAATCATTTTTAAACCATAGTAGTTATTAACTATTAGTTATATATATATATATATCTACACCACTTTCATACCACCCCATGACGAAAATGATTATTCCTCTATATCTCAGCAACCACTAGGTATTTTAAATTAATATTTATATCACTAGATAGCCTGGATCAGGGGCTATCTAGTGATATCAAAATTATTAGTGAAATACTAGAAATTAGTGATTTCTATCTAAAATGGATTGGGCAGTTTCACCTAATCCGCAAAAACTGCAGAAATTAAAACCAATAGTTTTCACTAAACCTAAATCAGGCCCGGGGTAGGGAACTCAAACCTGAAGTAATTCCCTAGGCTAGGCCCTGAGCCCAACCCACTGCAGGTTCAGTGAGGGTTGGATTCGATTTTTGCGGTTCGGTTATGCAACTCTATCCTAAGTTCTTTCCTTAAGCTATTTTACTACTTTTTACTTTTAAAAGCCTCTTTTAGTAGATATTCTACCTAAAATATTTATCTAGGCTGGATATTCTACCTAAGATAGAAACTATCCTTTTATTATCTTTATTAATAGGGCCCTGTAAAAGGTTCTTATATTTAAGAATCCTTACAGGTGCAGAAGCTTAGTAGTTACCCTTAGATATATCTAAAACCTTATCTCTTTTATTAAAACCTTCCTTTAAGATACCTTAAGTAGATCTCTATAAGTTACTATTACTTATAGATATAGATTCCTATTAAATATAATCTAAAGCTATAAAAATATATCTATATAGCTAGGATATTTAGTAGACTATAAATAGAACTTATAAGAAGCTAGAGCTGCTAGAAGTAGGCTATTAGACTAGATTATTAGATAAAGCTAAGCTTACTAAGTAGTAAGAGAGAATTAAAAAGGCTATTTAAGATTAGGAGAAGATAGATAATAAGGTTTATAGAGCTATATACTCTATCTTATCTTATACTATTAGATATAAAGTAATTAATTTAGAATTATCTAAAGCTATTTAGGACTATCTTAATAATAAATATAATATAACTATAGATATATAGTCCTTTAAGGGGCTGCAGATAGCTATAAATATTGGGATATTCGTTATCATTAAGGACGTGGAGTCTTTAAAGAGTGTAAGGGTAGGGGGTAGGCCAGTGGCTGCCCTATATATGCCTCCTTTACTTTAAGGGATTCCAGCTATCTTTTATATTTTAACCTAAGCTAAGAATGAATATAAGGTCTAACTAACTATATAAATAGTAATATTAGTTACTAGATATTATTATACCCCTAATATAGCTTCTCTAAAGCTATATACCTACTATTAATATTACATCCTCCCCTACTTGAATTAAACTTTATCTGCAGAGTTCTTAGTCAGCACCCATTAGTATGATTATATAAATATAACTATTACTAAGAGATATTAGTTTCTGAATCTAGTATTTAGATATTATTATTTCTTTATTAATAATCTATAGAATTAACTAAGTTATTCTTTATGCTATTATTTTAAAATTACTATAGTAGTAGCTAAGTATATTCTTTATTTATAATATAAGAGATATAATTAGATTATCTTACTTAGTAATATTAATAAGTAAGTTACTTAAGTAATTAGTAATCTTTAAGTAGTGTATAAAGAATTATAGTAAATATTATTATTTATATATATATATAAATAATTAAATTAATAAAGATAGAATTAACTAATAAGTATAGGTAAATAAGTAAGTATTTACTACTAGTATATATAGCCTAGATATAAATACCCTTAACTTTTTATACTTATTATATATAATATTTTATAAAGTAAGCCTTAATATATTATCCCTTAGCCCTATTACTCTTTATATAGATAAAAGAGCTCTTATAATCCCTTCTATTTCTCTATTATATTTATCTCCTTTAGTTATTAGGAAGTAATACTAATCTTATTAATTTTACTATAATTAATATTATAGATAGAGTAGATATAGTTTATACTACTAAAGCTAAGACTAGTTAGTTCTTAACTAGTATATAGTAATTATATATAATCCTTTTAGATCCTATCCATCCCCTCAACTAGTTAACTCAAAATAGTAAGGAAATACAGAAACTAATTAAGTTATATAGTAA